AAAAAATATTTATGTTGAAATATTCTATTTGATGTTGTAATATTCTATTTGCTTTTGTTAACCATCTGGCATGGGACATCTTACCCGGGAATCTGTTACTCGAATCATCAGAGCATTTGCCACTGTGTAATTCCTTGTAAAACTGGGATAAAAAATTGAAATTTTTCAGTCACCCTTTCAGATTTCCTTCAAATTTTACCTAATGGTACCTATTATTCTAACATGAAAAAATGTAAAGTTTGAGCTCACAAATCCAAGTGGTTCAAAAGTTATGGCATTTTAAAATTAAGCCTAAAACGCCCTATTTTTTTCCACATTCACCATTACGGACTGTAGTACTACTTTTTAATGAATAATTTAAGATCTAGTGTAAGAATGGGTCTGAAAATTAGTACTTGACCATTTGCATAAGTGCTGAATTCAAAAATGTAAAAAAATTAGTAAAGTTTAAATTTTTTGATGATTATTATTAGATTTTAAAATGGTCAGTCAACTTTTTTGTTCTGTTACCATGGGTTGTTGTGTTAAAGTTAGTGCCAATGTTACCATTGGCACTAACTTTTTTTGAAAATGCTGAATCCAAAGTAGAAAATGAAAAACCTAAATCAAAAAGTTTGATGATTGTTTTTTTTATTTTATAATGGTAAAAAATCACTTAACCCTAAAACGAGGAAAGTTTTTCACGAGTTGCCTGACTCTCATGGTTTTAGTTGTGATGTGTAAAAACAGTTTATTGAGGTTGGTCTTGATATATAAATGGCATTTTGTGAAGAGAATTGTTATGTAAAAAGTATAGTTTTGCAATGCCTGCTATGATGTATAAATATAGATTTGTGACATCAGTTATGTTGTATTAATATAGTTTTAAAACACCAGTTGTTTAAGAAAAAAATAACTTTATATTTTAATTTTAGGTTAAATAATTAAATTCAGTTTCTTAGTCATGGTAAATAGCCAACAGTGCTCCATCAGAATCAAGCTAGAAAGTGAATGTTATCTTGCAACATATACATTGTTGCTTGTAATCAAATCTTTCAAAGATGTTCCTGATTATGAAAGAGAAATATTGATGTGGAGGACTGGGCTATCAATAATCAATGTTAAACCAACAACTTGTCTCCATCATAAATTATTTTATTCAAATTTTTATACATATTAAAAGAGTCCTTTTTTTTTAGGTAGTCTTCGTGAAATTAACTTACAAATACAGCAAAATAATTATGCAGTAAAAGCAAATTCGTAGTACCAGGCGAAAAACTTTGTCCACAATGTAGACATAAATTAGCATCAATTGAAGAATCAGAAAAGAATGAGTTGGAGATAAAATTAACTGAAGATAATATGGAAAAATAAATTATACTGGAATCAATAAGATCATTGCTCAACAGTACTTTGTGTGAACTTGAAGTGCCTCTGCTAAAAGTTCATTTATTAAAACCTCTAACAAGCCTTCACTTGGAAAGAGAAAGATAAAACAAGTTGAAGAAGCAGTAATTAAGAAACTTGCTGTATTCAAGGGAAATGTCAGGTAAAAAAGACTGTAAGTGTTGGGAAAAAAAATACATGTCAAAAAAATTGATTTTGTGTAACTTAAAGGTGCTCTATGTGGCATATAAGATTAAATACCCAGACCATAAAATTGGATTTTCTAAATTTTGCAGTCTTCGGCCTAAATGGTGCATCCTTGCTGGTCCAAAAGTTATATATTCTGTTTTTGTGTGTACAATACACTAAAATGTTATATTAATGGCCTTGAAACAAGTTACCATGAAATCATTGAAAAGATTGTTTGCAGCAGAAGATCAAAAGCTTGCATGATTCACCAATGCAATAGTTGTCCTGGCATACAAAGTTATTTGCACCAGTATCTCACACAAAATCATGATTCAAAAGAGCAATATGACAGTGACGAAAATGAACAGTCAGTGGATTTCAAACAGTGGACAAAGACAGATAGGACCGAACTATTAACAATAAAACTTTCCTTAAATAAATTTATAGAACTCCTGTGTGAAAAACTTGATAAAATTACTTCTCATTAATTTATAGCAAAATCACAATCTAACTATCTAAAGCATCTCAAAGATTTAATTAGTATTGATGAGGCTATTGTACTAGCAGATTTTACAGAGAATTACACTTTTGTAGTACAAGACGAGATACAGAGTTACCATTGGAGCAATGCTCTCTTCATCCACTTGTCATCTACTACAAGAAAATGAAATTGGAAATATCTTCTTTTTGTGTAATTTCAGATGATTTGAATCATGATGATGGATTTATCAATAAAGTTATGCGTAAAACCTTTAATCATATAAAAACTCATCTTTGTCCCGCAATTACAAAAATTCATTATTTTTCTGATGGCTGTACAGGGCAGTATAAAAATTACAAACGTTTTTACAATTTATGTCATCATGCTCAAGATTTTTTCTGTTTGGTGCATCTGGAATTTCTTTGCAATAAGCCATGGTAAATCTCCATGCGATGGAATAGGTGGCACTGTTAAAAGGCTTGTTGCAACTGCTAGCTTGCAGAGTCCAACCACAGGTCAAATACTGTCTTTTAAAGCAATGTTTGAATACTGTCAAAAGTCAATCAGTGGGATTACATTTGTGTACGTCCCTGCTGAAGAGATTGAGCTAGTGAGAATCAAACTAAGTGATAGACTTTTAGTAGCAACCACTATTCCTGGGACAAGAAGTTTTCATCAATTTATACCTTCTCATTCAATTATAAAAATGAAAAGGGTATCCGATGATAATTATTTTGCTCTAACATTTGACTTCAATAAACAAAAAAATGAAATTAATAAATTTGACAATGATATGATGTCACAATACCTATTTTGCAAATACAACAGTTTTTACTGGCTTGGTATGGTTTCTGAAATTGATAAAGAGAATGATGATTTTATAGTTAAGTTTATGCATCAGCATTATCCAAGTCGGTCGTACTACTGGCCAAAGCGAGATGATAATTGTTGGGTGTCAAAAGTGAATGTCATTTCTCTTGTTAGAACGCTGTCAACATCTTCTGGTCGTTAGTACGGCATCTCAAAAGAAGATGAAACTCTATTTGAACAGCTTTTACTTTGTCAGTGAAAATTGATGAATATTTTACTTTCTTTATTTAAATAATACTAACTTCAATTTTAGTAAATTTGGTTATTTCTTTTTATTTTTATTTTTGAGCTTTTTTCAACAAAAGTAGATTTTTTATTATTTTTTCAAAGAAGTTTGCATTTTAGTTTCTTATTTTTTAACATAGTATTTGAGTATGCGATCCAATATTTAAGCATGCAACCAACATTTTGAAACAATACTTAATTATTAGACATTAAGTGATAATGTTAAGTTAAACTATTATAATTAATATATAAATTATATTTTTAATGTGTTGTATAGTAAATTATATTTCCACTTTTAAAAGTATTGATTATAAATATGCAAGTTATGCAATGCAATATAAATTTTTTATTTTCTTTCAGAGACCTAATCTTTTCTAAAACCTCTTATTTCACAATGAGAGTAAGGCAACTCCAGAAATAAATGAAATGTAAACCATGGTTACGAAACAAAAAACTTAGTGCTGATATTTTAAAACTAAAACATTATTCTCAAATATTAAGAATTAGGTTAATTTCTCTTTATCTTTGTATTCAATATCTTTAAAATTGGTCAGGTACCAATTTTCAATCATATTTCTCCACTAGAACTGAAAGTATTGCTATAAATTCTATAATGGAGAATAGAAACTACAAAAAGATTTTTCTTGTCTAAATTTCAAAATGACATATCTTTATAATGCTTTAAGAAACCAAAACCATCTTTTTTATAAAGATAGTCTAGGTCACCTACCTCATTTGAAAAAAAAATTGAATCCATGAAACTTGGGCAACTCCGAGAATTAATGATAGCGCAACCCATGGTAACAGAACAAAAAATTTGACTGACCATTTTAAAATCATAAAATAACCATCAAAAAATTTAAATTTCACTATTTTCTTTACATTTTTGAATTCAGCACCCTCCAAAATGGTCAGGTACCAATTTTTAGCCACATTATTCCACTAGATCTTAAATTGTTTATTAAATAGTACAAAAACAAAATTCATTTTGGCGGATATTCATTATTACTTACCAAAAATGGAACATTTTAGGCTGAATTTCAAAATGCCATAGCTTTTGAACCGTTTGGATTTACGAGCTCAAATTTTACATTTTTTCATGTTTTATTGTTATGTACCACTGGGTAAAATTTAAAGAAAATCCAAGAGGTGACTGAAATGACTGTCCCAGTTTTAAATAGAATTATAAAACCCAACTGCCATTGTTATTTCATATAAGTATTTTTAATCTGTACTCAGATCTTCAAATTTAATTTCTGGAAGTTTGCTTTGTATTTTTTCATAGTTTATTATTGGTAATTTTTCACTATTTTCTAATGATTTGCCAATAGGACCAGCATGTGAAGGTGGGCCAGTGGTAACACTGTTTAATATATATATTTTTTTTTATTTCACTTCACTTCCTCAAGGCCGAGAAGGCCACTACAAACGAGGAGGCTACTTATTTTGTGCCTATAACCCTCTCTCAACTCTATAACTCCGAAACACGAACCTTGACGAACAAGGCCGCTGCGCGGAGAAACGAGTTGAGCGCGGTACTACCAGGGACGTGGTAGGGATCGATAAATAGATGTCTGTAGCATGCAAATAATCTACTGTAAGGGGCGTTTAAAATAAATGTTTTTAAAGATATTTTTACTTTTAGTGTTTTTAAATGGTAATTGGGTAACTTCTGCAAAAATCTAATCTAGACAAGTATCTAACAATTAACAATTATCTATGATATCAAAATATAATTTAATTAATAGTTTCAAAACAGTTCTTATGTTGTAAAACTATTAGTTAGTTTCAAAACATAAAAATTATGTTTGTTTGAAAAATTCAAAACAATGTTTTTAGAATGATTATATTTATTAGTTATTTTTTTTAGATGGTAATTGGGCAATTTCTGCTGAAGGAATCAACTGTGAACTATTGTTACCACAATTGGCATATTATGGTGGAACTATCACTGTTACATTTTATGCCAATTCACCTCTACCTACTGTTTTGAGTAAAAAGATTTTTTCATTTTTTTAATATTAATTAATAAAATAGTTTGAATATCTTGTCATATCAATGCCAATCAATACTTCTTTTTTTGTTTTCTTGTGATTATTTTTTTTTATCTTTTTTACTCTTTACTGAGTTTAAGTGTTTCATTCTGGAAATTTTGTCAGTTTTTTAAAAAAACAAACTTCAAAAACATAATTTAAAGAAAAAAGGAGTATAGTGTAAATTAATTTTGCTCAAAAAAAAAAACTCTTTTTTTTAAATATTTTTATTTTATCCTTATAAAATTATCATTAAAGTTACCAAAAGTATTTAGATATATTATATATATATATATATATATATATATATATATATATATATATATATATATATATATATATATATATATATATATATATATATATATATATATATATATATATATATATATATATATATATTAATTTGGAATCACTTACCCAAGACCATAAAAGTCACTACAGTCAAGGAGACTACTTTAGTTGTGGTTACAATGTAAGTGATGAAGCATTTAAGAGGCACGTTTTGGCAGTTTTTGATAAATATTTTAATCAAATTAAGACTTTTATTATTTTAGAGTTCATTATTTTACCAAAAATAATTAATGCCAAATTTTTTTTTTGTTAATTTTTTTAAAAATATATTATGCACAAAGATATTTATGGAAATTTTAACTATTAAATTATTATTTTTTTAAAATAATAATTTGATCAGTGATTTGAGACAATGATAGATAATATCAACTAAAAGCGATAATAAAACATCAATATAAGTAATTTGACTATCATAATGGAAACTATTCTAAAATAAGTAGTGGTTGAAGAAATGAACTAGACAATGCATTTTAAGAATATAACTGCAAACAAAATGTATAACACGTTTTTATTAATTTACTCAAATATATTTCTTTTATACCACAACAATAGTTTGTTATTGGTATAAAAGAACTCACACAAGAAATTAAAGGTTTAGTGCGTATCAAAAGGTCACTATGGTTAAATTTATAATCAAAAAGCAATAGACAGGGTAAATCCAAAATAAAATACAAAGCTGTATGCAAAGACTTTAAAAGTAAAGTTCTACAAGCAAAACGCTCATTTGAAAAGAATCTTGTAAGTGAATCAACCCACATTCCAAAATCACTATTTAAGTATATTAACAGCAAAAACAATTTAAAAATACCATCTAAGCTTTAACATCCAATAGCAAACTAATTAAAGAACCTAACCAAATAGTTAACATTATGAATGACTCTTTAAAGCAGTCTATAGGGAGAATACCAATAATTTACAGGTTCTAGAAAATTACTCTGTTAAATTAAACCGTTATTTTGTCTTACTTTTGTGAGGCAATAATAGATAATATAATAACTGTAAAATTAGTTAAAGAAAAATTTCTTCAGTTAAATAAATATAAATTTCCAGGACCAGACATAGTAAAATCGATAGTACTAAAACGATGTGTATCTGCCTTTGCTTTTCCACGTGCTATGATTTTTGAAAAATTACTCAGAACAATTAAATGGAAATTAGCAAAAAATAACCCCAATATTCAAAAAAGGGAGCAGGTTAATTGTAAGCAACTACAGACCAGTTTCATTAACTTCAATAGTCTCTAAAGTATTTAAAAGTATTATATCTGACACAATATATAAACAAGTGTCAAGTGATGGTTTATTAAACAAACATCAACATGGATTTGTAAAGGGGAAATCTTGTTTAAAAAATCTAATTAAAATATAAGACTTTTTAAATAAATCTCTAGCGGGTATTTGTTATCTTGTTAACATTACTAAAGCCTTTGACCAATTTTTTTTTTTTTTTTTTTTTAATTTTGATTCACCTCCTCAAGGCCGAGAGGGCCACTACAGACGAGGAGGCTACTTATTTGTGGGTATAACCCTCTCTCAACTCTATAACTCCGAAACACGAACCTTGGCGAACAAGGCCGCTGCGCGGAGAAACGAGTTGAGCGCGGTACTACCAGGGGCGTTGTGGGGATCGAACATCAAGTACTTCATGAACGATTATTAATCAAGCTTAAGTCATATGAAATATCAAAGATCATATGCAACTGGATTAGCTACCTTTTAAATAATCAATTCTAAAGATTGATACAAGGTAATGAAGCATCCAACAGGAAATGATAACAAGCGGTGTTTCCCAAAATTGGTACTTTCTCTAATTATATTCATTTTATATATCAACGGTTTACCAGAGATTTTAGAACACTCTAAGCTCTTTGTAGATGACACCAAGTTAATCAGGAAAGTAGCTAGCTCTGAGAATGGTCAAATGCTTCAGAATGAAATTAACCTAGCCTGCGAATGGTTAGAGATCTGGTAATTACAATTTAATAGTGAAATATGTTGTATTATGCACTTTGGAAAAAATAACCTTTGCTATATTTATAAACTAGGTGACAAAATACCTGATGCCGAAAAAGATCTTAGAATTATAATGTCATCATTTCATGGAAAAGTCACATAACCAATTGCGCATCAAATGCTTATTCAATGCTTAAAATGTTGAAAAAATTATTTCACTACATCAACAAAAAAAATGTTCAAGAAAATATACATGACATTTATAAGACCCCATCTTGAATTTGTAATACAAGCATGGTGTCCATACCTTAAAAGTAATATTATTGCATCTCAAAAAGTTTAACATTATGCCACTAAATGGATACCCCAGATTCGAAAACAAAGTTGTGAAACAAGAATTAAAATACATTATAAAGCACACTCGAAAAAATGCAAGAGGCCTGGAACAAACCTTAATTCAAATATTCAAACTATTTAAAAAAGTAAATAATGTAGAACTTGATAATATTTTTGTATCAGTCCAACACAAGGGGCCATATCTTCAAAATCTTAAAAGAAATTGGTAAAAACTGCAATATTTTTCATCAATTCTTAACTAATAGAGTCTCATGAATGCAGAACAAACTACCAGATTTTATCGTCAAAAGTGAAAGCGTGAACTTATTCAAAACTTGCATTGATAAATATCTAGAGCTATATGGTTTGTAATTTATAATTTAATATATTTACCTAGAATAACTGCACAATATGCTGTCAAAGTGAAATTAATTACTATTAATTTCACTCGTAGTTTTTGAACTTCTACAGCTTTCTATTATGTATTATACATTATTATATTATATTAAAATTTCTTATGTTTTAAGGTACTAATACTTTTCTATTTTATTTTCTAAATTGTTAAATTTAGGCTTAAATAAATGCCAAACAAATTGGAATTACTTTTAGATTTCTATGTTAATCATTTAAAATTTTTAAATAATATTTTACCACATAAATAATTTATTATTTAGTTATAATACTTAAAAAGTTAATTTTATTTTAGCTGTCATATATTTTTATAACTTCTCTTTTTTTTTTTTTTCTTAGCTGTTCGATTTTTAAAGATAAATTTAGAGCTTCTTCAAATATATGATGTATCAATTACTAAAAGTGGATGGAATATGTATTCTCTAAGTTTATCTAATGTTCAACATCCTGCGTTTTTGGTAATCCTTATTTATTACAAAATTTTTTTTTTCTAATAACACACATGACAATTAAACTTGTTCTAATAATGAAAAAATATGTTGTTATTTTACCTTTAAAGAATTGTAAGTTAATAATTCAAAATTTTGGTTGTTTTCATTATTAGTATTTCATACTATACTAAATTAGGTTTAAAAAATGGATTTTAAACGCTTTTAAATAATTTTTAGTTTATTGAAGTTTACTATATATATATATATATATATATATATATATATATATATATATATATATATATATATATATATATATATATATATATATATTCTATACATTAATAATGTAGATAATAGTTTTTATATACAATGCATAAGTAATAAATTAGGTTTAAAAAATGGATTTTAAATGCTTTTAAATAATTTTTAGTTTATTGAAGTTTATTATGTATATATATATATATATATATATATATATATATATATATATATATATATATATATATATATATATATATATATATATATATAGTATATATATATATATATATATATATATATATATATATATATATATATATATATATATGTATATATATATATATAAATATATATATATATATATATATATATATATATATATATATATATATATATATATATATATATATATATATATATATATATATATATATATATATATATATATATATTCTATACATTAATAATGTAGATAATAGTTTTTATATACTATGTATAAATTTTTATATATATAAATAATGTATATGAAAGTTTTTATGAATCATAGTACTAGCAGTTTAAAATGTTTTTGCATCTGATAATTCACTGAAACCATAGTTATAAGAAAGATATAGTTTGGAAGCAAACAATAGCGCATTGTTTTAACTCTTTCATACTGTTTTTTCTTGTTTCCGGACTTCCAAACCTGCACATAAAGATTGTTGTTGTTACCATATGTGTATTACTCTATCAAATTGTTTTTGTGTTTTCAACGGTTGCTTTTTTTTATTGATATGTCTGGTGAAAATTGTGCAATATTTGGTTGTTCAACTTCTAGAAGACACAAAGGTATCAGCATTTTTAAAGTACCTACTCCAACTAATGATGCAAATAAAAAGTGAAGTAATGACCTTATTAAAGTAATTATTCGAGACAGACTTATTGATGATTCTTTGAAAAAATAAATTAACTTTATCAATCTATATATTTGCAAACTTCACATTACCGAAAATCAATTATGGGTATACTTCACGAAAAATTCGCGAGAAATTCATTCAATTCAAAAAAATATTCACGAAAAACTTTAAAGGATGGAGCATTGCCAACATTAAACCTTCCTAAAAAAAGTAATCCGTAGCAGCGAAGATTGCTATTCATTACAAAATGTGAGGAATTTCAATTAAATCAAGAGTTGATTTCTCAAACTACAATTCCATAATACAAATCTTTTGATGATTTTACTCTTAGTGATAATTGGAAAATATCTTTGGATGATAATTAGCAATAATTACTTGTGATTTGCCAGAACATGTTTTACCTAAGTATGAAATTTATGTTGATGAGTTTCTAGATTATTGTATACAAGTTTTTGGTTGGATTTTATCAAAAGACCATCATCAAATACAGCAAAACAACTTTTATAACAAATTTTTGTAAAAAATAAAAAATAATAAAAGATTTTTATTTTATAGGAGCAACTTTTTTTTACCGATATCTTAATAATTTTCAGATTTATATACCTTACTTATAATTCTTTTGTTTTTAAATTAAAACAAATATTAAAGCTTTACTTACAAATCTTATAATTTTCATACAAGTGTTTTACATTATATAGAACCTTAAGTATATACGGTCTCTTGTTTTTACACTATGATATTTTTTGTTTTCCCATTAAAAAAAAAGTAATAATTACTTTCATTAACTGACAGTGTTAATTAGAGATATTCGATAAACTGTTAAATTTTTTTATTATAAAAATTTTTGATTATGCTAATTTAATTTAAATTGCTAAATTTGCTAAATTGGATATGGATAAAAAGAAAATATCATTAAAATTTGCATTTGATTTTTGATAACGAAACTTTGTTGGCAACGCTATACCAATTAGAATCTGTAAAGGTTACAAAAAAAATTACAAGAATACACTAAAAAATACAGTTGACAGTAGTATCAGATATGAAAATTTGTTAAAGGATGTGTGAGAATCTGGTTTTGCATACAACTTGTATTACAATATTAAATATAATATGTTTTTTAACACATGTTACAACATTTTGACAATTTAAACTACCATCTACCTTGAATTGCTATTAATTAATGTGTTAATTGTAGCATTAATTAATAATAGTTTGTCTTTATTTTTGTTAAATGTTATTGTATTATACGTATATTTTTTCCCGTTTAATACAATAACATTTAACAAGAATACAGACAAACTATTATTAATTAACGCTATAATTAACACATTAATTAATGGCAATTTAAGGTAATTTAAATTGTCAAAATGTTGTAACGCGCGATAAAAAACATATTATATTTAATATTTCCCAATTTGTGTGTCGTATTTGAGATTTGTCTCTTAACATGGAAAATTAAAAAACTAACAAAATTGACAAATACAAGTTTTCAAGCAATTTTCTTTTCCAACTCCCATTTTTTCAAAAAAAAGTTAAAATTAAACTTTTATTTCTCATTTAAAAAAAAAAACGAGTGAAGCAGAAAAAAATATTCCAAACAATTATTAATTGTTTGGAATATTAAAAAGTTTCACGTAATTGTTTAATTACGTGAAACTTTTCTTCCTTTTTTGTTCTACTATTTTTTATAAAAAGAGCACGTGATGAAATAAAAACTTTTCTTTCTTAACAAAAAAGATAAAATTAAATTAGAAATAAATCAACAGTGAGCAAAGCAACTAACAGTCTAATCTGGGACTATTTTGATATTGATGAAAATAATCAACATAAACAACATAAACAACAACATTAATCAAATAAACAACACAATATCACATAATTATACGGGATTTTTATTTATTGCTTAGTAGTTTTAAATAATAAGTAAATTTAGTTCAAGTTAATATTTTAATATTTACAGTTGCAATATGATAAAAAAAAGCTTTTAAATGTTGAACTTTTTATTTAATTATTCATTTTTTACCTACATTTGTTATAAAAAGGACTTTAGTACCCCCGTCATTAATATCATTTGTTTAAATATATTGTGACAAGATTATTCAAGTTAAGTTTTTTCGTTTGACTTCCTGAATATCTTGCAAAGCAAATTCAGACAAAATGTTGTCAACCAATTAAAATGCTGCTACTAATTTTATACGGCTAATTAATATAAAACAATTTTTTTATCAGAATCTTGATTGAGATAATAAATATTCATCATTTAATAACATTAAATATAGCGCAATAACAATTTATAGCAACAAACCAGCATAAAATATTTAAGTTTTTTAATATCTTTTTAAATATAAAAAGTAGAAAATAAATAACTAAACAAATAATGAAAAAATTTATGAATAAAAAAAAATTAAAATTTTTCTACCGTGACGTCAAATACTGAAACTTTTATGAGTTAAACACGCTTCAAAGGAATCGCCAAAGTCTGTAAATTGCGACGTATAGTTTAAAGACTTTATTGTTAAAAAGTTATTGAAAAAAATGGAGAAGACGAGCTTCGGTTAAAACAACAAGATTAGTTTTCCTTGGTATGCATTCATTGTTCATTTTTAATCAAAAAAACTTGTTTTTTTTTTTATTAAAAAAACCTTTTTTTTTAACATTATCTTTAATATGAACACAACATGTGTTGGGAGTTTGGGATCCCTTTAATATTAGATATTTTTAACTTTTGTTGCAAATTCAAATCATCAGCTTGTTTTTTTTTAATTTTTGTTATTTAAAATGCAAAACAAAACAACTTTCTTTGAAAACAAACTTTTTTCTTCAAAAGTGTTTTACTTTGTATTTTAGAAAAATTGAAAAAATTCAAATTAACAAAAAAAAAAAACTGATGGTAGGAATCGAACCTGGACTTCATGCTTCAGAGCCTTGCGTGATTGGACTGATATATTCAAAAAAATAAAAAAATACAATAAAACAAACTCCAAAGTTGTTTTGTATATAATATAAAGAGCTTGTATTAATGTAAAACAACTTCATGACCCAGTTTTATTGCTATATTATACAGTTTATAGCATTAATAACATAAAACGTGTTTAAAATAAAATGAAGTAAACTGTTCTAATTAATAAATTAAGACATTGCCTTAAAACTTTAAGCTTTATATTAGTGCAAAAACATGCCTATAAACCAAACGAGACTAATCTATAGACCATACAAAACTAATATATAGACCAAACAAGACTAATCTATAAACCAAACAAAGCTAATATATAGACCAAACAAGACTAATCCATAAACCAAACAAAACTAATCTATAGACCAAACGAGACTAATCTATAAACCAAACAAGAAAAATACAGAAAAATTAAAAATAAGTTAAGATTTCCGATGCCTTCATACCATGCCAGATTTATGGCACAAATTATTTTACTGAAGTTATTCTTCAGTCACAACTTAGTAGTTTGTTTTGAAAGTTATTTTTCTTAAAATTCATTGACATTACATGAGATAGAATGGCTGAAAATCATTTCATTAAACTGCAACTTATTTCCAATTTATTAAAGGTTTGAAAAAATCTGTCACTGATCTTTTTGTTCTAAATTACAGTGCAGAATGTACAATTAAAGTTTAGTCTTTCTTTTTTAAAAAATGTTAAATTCTAAAAAATTTTTATATTTAAAGTAATTATCAAAAAAATGGCTTCATTTTAATCAGGCAGAACGTGTATTTTAAAACCAGTACTAGATACAGTCATTACCGCGGAAGCAAAAAATAAATCTGCATAAATTACATCTTGAATAATTAGCAATCCTGCGAGCATACTTTAACTGATTTTGAATGAAAGGTATGTATAAATAAAGCAAATTT